CACTGTAGGTCCTCCAGGTGAGTGGAGGCATTGTGGGCAGGAGCCACTGCAGGGTTTGACACAGAGTGTCAGAACTGTGTCACAGCTTCTTCACACTTGATAGCAGAAGATCAGAAGGTTTAGGAGGCAGTTCTCCAGCTGGGCTTGACTCTGGAATCACCTGAATCTTTAATAAAGTATGGGCATCGGGCTCCTATCCTCCCATGTTTTGAGTCAATTTGGAAGGATGTGGTTGGTCACAGCTTAAAATGTGAAGCGGCATGAAAACATTGACTTAAAACTGACACAAGGTCACAGATTATCTGTAGATAGAACCAAAACTTGACCCATATCTGACTGTCTTCAGAGTTCCAGCGTTTGATCACATCACAAGGTGAAAGAGGATAAGTATAGAGAGGTCTTTGAAGGATGGTCAGCTTCAGTAAGCAGAGAAGAACATGGAGGGCAATCCAGGAGAGTGTGTGTGTGTGTGTGTGTGAGAGAGAGAGAGAGAGAGAGAAAGAGAGAGAGAGAAACAGACAGACAGACAGAAAGACATCTAGACAGAGACAGAGAGAGACAGAGACAGAGCTGGAGATGGAGACGGAGATGGAGAGGGAGAGTGTTGTAGTAGATAACACCAAGCACAACATCCTTGAATTCAGTCATAAGCTAACCTCAACTGGGTCAAATACAGGTACTGCATAAATAAGAGCTGTCATTTCTATGATACCATGTACCAGATATTTTTCTTAGAATATCACACATAATAACTCATTTAATCTTGACAAAAACTCTTTGAGCTCTGCTTCTTAAGTGAGGGACTCCAGGTGTGCAGAAATTTCATAACTCACCAAGAGCTACCCAGCTGGCAAGTGGCATGCTGGCTCCTGAATTATACCTGTAATCCCTATCCTGTGTTACCTCTCATGTGAAGAACATACTAAGGGTTTTCATATTTGCCAGTTTCTGTCTTGAACATTTACATTAGTTGCTTTGTGTAATACTTGCAATAACTTGCAAGAAATAACATTGTTACAGATAAGAAAACCCAGACTCTTTCTTAAGGTCCCACAACCTGTAAAAGGTGAAGTGGGTATTATTAGGACAATCTAGCCTTTAACCATTCTTACTGTTTTAAGACTTTATGTTTTCTAATTTCAAGTTAATATCTTCATTGTAACATCATATATAAAATACATAAAAATTAAATCACTTTTGTGTTTGGAGTGATGAATTCAGAACTTAAATGAAGCACACTCCATTTTGGTAACCTATCAGCTTCCAAAAACCTTTTGGGAATCCCTGATACTCTAAGGAACACAGTTTATAAAGCACTACTGTGGAGAGTCAGAGTCTTCCAGATATTAGGACATGCCAGTAATATTTTTGGCAAACATTGATGGGTTAGCCATATTTCCTAGCAGTGAGAGGGAGGAGTAGTTGTAACCATGATGCTTACAGAATTTGAGTCCTAGTCCTGTGGATCTCAGTTCATAGATATATTTGAAGCTCAGCATGGTGAGATACGTGCTTATAATGTCAACTACTTACCAGGTAGAGATCAGGAGAATCAAGAGAGGCCAGGTGAGGTACAGTTAGGGAGACCCCTTTCTCAGAAGCAAAATACAAAAAGAAAGGATCAGAGGTATGGATCAAGAGGTAGAGCACTTACATCGCAGGCATGAGTCTTACATTTGAACTCTATTACTGAAAAAAAAGATAAATTACAAGACACATAGTCAAAACATCTCAAAAAAGTCAAAGGGGCAGCTTAATTCTTTTTTTAAATTATTCAAGTCATTGTGTAAGAGTTGCCACTTAACAAAGCAGTTTATGGATACGATATATCTGGATCAGTGTTGTCCCTTTCAACATTCTCACCCATCCCACACCTACCTACCACTCTCCTCACTCTGCATTTTGTTGTGTATATACTGAATTCTTAACTGCCCTTTTTACCCCTCTTCTCCTCTTCATTCATCTACCCCTTTCACCTTGACCCTACCCTATCCCTTTAGAGTACCTGCTTCCTGGTATTTTATTTTGCTGAACTTTGATTTTGGCTTGCTATAGAATTATACTGTTTGAGATTTCCCTTGAATCTACTGTATTTCAGTAAATTCATTTGTGTATTCTTGCATGATACTCAGCATATTTACTTATGAGTTTTAAGCTAATTCTAGCTTCTACATATAAGTGGAAACATGGATCCTTTGTTTCTCTGGGCCTGACTTAGTTCATCTAACATAATTTTTCCCAAGTCTTTCCATTTCTTTACAAATGGTACAATATCATTTCTGATGGATGAATAAAATTCTATTGTGTATATATACCACATTTTCTTGATCCATTTGTCCATTGAGAGGCATCTGGGCTGATTCTATGCCTTGGCTACTATGCATAGTGCTATAATAAACATGGTTGTGCTGGTGATTTTACTGTGGCCTAGTTTATAATCTTTTGGTAAATGCCCAGGAGTGGAATTGCTGGATCATAGGATAGTTCTATGTTTAATTTTTTGTTGTTGTTGTTGGTTGTGGGGCTTGAACTCTGAGCCTGGGCACTGTCCCTCAGTTCTTCAGCTCAAGGCTAGAGCTCTATCACTTGAGCCACAGTGCCACTTCCAGTTTTCTGGTGGTTTATTGGAGGTAAGAGTTTCTCGGACTTTCCTGCCCGGGCTGGCTTTGAACCATGATCCTCAGATCTCAGCCTCCTGAGTAGCTAGGATTACAGGTGTGAGCCACACAGCTATGTTTAATATGTGAGGCACCTCCACACGGCTTTCCAGAGTGGTTGAACAAGTTCACATTCTCACCAACACTATATAAGGGATCCCTTTTGGCCATTTAATGGCCATTCTGTTTTGATAGTAATGGAAATTATTTTCAGAAGTATAGAACACTAACTTTAGGCAGAAACTCTAGACATTCCCTAGAAAACTGAGACTCTGACGGTGAATATGTGTGAATGGTTTATAGGGATCTGAGACCAGTACCCATATAGTGTCTACCTCAGTAATTCTGTCCAGGGACACCGGAAGTGGGATAAGTAAGGAGCCTTCACCTATGGCACTGCTTCTAAAGTGACAAGAATCATATCAGTCTCACCTGACCCTAGGAGCTTACTGATGTTAGGGGGACCAGTGGCATCTCTATCAGCTAAAAGACCAGGTTACATTCATCTGGGTTCTGAGGTTCCCACGTCATATTTCTGAACAACAGTCAACACTCGAAAATATAACTGGATTCATAGAAAAGTAACTTATGACTGCTGCTAGCAATCTGGTGGCAGGTGATCTAAGAACCTGTAGAAGTAGTTTAGCAATCCTGGGTTTATAGTTTTCTGACAATTCAGCTTCAATTAATGAGGAAGTAATCAGCCAATGAGAACTCCTGAGACCCTCTCTTCCTTGGAATCAGCAATATGTTAGAAATAAAGAATAATTTGTGACAAGAAGTGAGGCCTGAATACACTGGCCAGGGGGCTTAGGCAGGCTCTCTTAATGGGCCCTTAGAATGACCTTAACTGTGCTTTTCCTCGACACTGCTGTTGAGTCAATAAAAAGAAAAAAAAATAGGGAAAAAAAAGGAAGAAAACTATAGCCTATACCCAGGATACATCCTGTACTGCTTTTTAGAAGAGCTTCTGCTCATATTTGTGAAATTCTATGAACTTATATGAGAAACTATAAAGGTTTTGTTTTTTTAAATCTTATGTCTTTATAACATTAAAATAATTCTATTCTAAAGTTAAACAGGTGAGGTTCTGACTTGCATAGATTATTCTTTATATTCTTTGCCTTTTAAACTGTTCTTTGCTTTGGCTTTGATTTAAATTAGATGGCCATTAAGTTTCCTTTTTTAAATAAATCAGGAAAAAAAGTAGGGCTTACTGACTCTTAAGAGCAAGGTATTTACCTTGGGTATGCACCTTAATAATGACTCTGAATAAATTCCATGTAAACTGCAGAAATTGTGTAGAAAGTCTTTGTGAATTGGAACTTAATATGTCATTGACACATTTTGAAGAGTGACTTAGGTGATGGATGAATCCATGCTGCCAAGTTCAGCTGGAAGGGTTGGCTTAGGAACCCACACATCAGCTCTGGAATTGAGATTCCTGGAACCATGAATCAGTAAGGTGGATGAAGCCTGCATGTGTGTGCAGAGATGGCATTTCACCAGCTTGCTGCATAGAAGTTGCTGTTAACATGACTATACACATGAACCCTCTTTGTTGTATGTGGGATTTAAAGGTCCTTGATGGTCTGGGGAGGGTAACACCTTGCCTTAGGATTCCCTGGTCAATTTTTTTGGGACCTGACTGAAAACTCTGGATATCTGATCGTCTGGTTTGTTTCTATGACATATTAGCACCCCATAAAAATTACATGTCATTTATTTCACGTTTAGAACCCTCTCAGACTTCAGGGGAAAACAAACTTGAACCTTTTGTGGCTGGAATTTTGTTTCCCTTTGGCCAAACCTTGCTTCCTGAAGGTAAGGCAGGGAGGTGAGGTGAGAAGGGCTTCTGAAGCTCCATGCACATCAAATAGATTTAGCCAAACAAGATGTTGATAGGTTAAAACGTGAATGACTCTGAAACACATCAGTTAACTTCCCGTCAAAGTACACTGAATGTGAAACACAGAAGTATATTGCCAGGCAAAATGCATTTTGAGTGTTGCCCCCCTCCAACTGTGAGGAACTCTTTGAGATGTTCAAACACAGTTTGAAATTGGGTCAAGCTGATCATCCCTCACCCAAACTTCTCATAAATGCATTAAATAATCTCTATGAAGAGACAACGTACATGAATGTAGCTGCTGAAGAATTTGTACATTTCTTGAGTCTGAAGCATTCTTAATCAGTAGCAATGGAAGAATGGGCCCCATGACACAGTGTCTGATTTCAGAACATCTATGGTTCTGGTATATGTTGTCAGAACACAGGGTAGCAGGGAATGCCTTGTACTTAAATGAAGGAGAAATCGCACACACAGCCCCATGTGCCTTTCAGATAGAGGAGCTAATGAACGCATTGGAGAAGACCAGACAAGAGTTGGATGCCACCAAAGCCCGTCTTGCCTCTACACAGCAGTCCCTGGCAGAAAAGGAAGCTCACTTGGCTAACCTTCGGATTGAGAGGCGGAAACAGCTGGAGGAGATCCTGGAGATGAAGTGAGTATCCATTTTTTGCATTTCTGGTCTTTCCTCATCTCTCTTTGGGGGTAGGAAAGGAGAAGGGCTAGAGAAGGTGGAGAAAGAGCTCAGAGATTGATTTAGTTAATACTGCACTAGTCATTTCTGAGATATTTTCTTTATTTTTTGGTTACAACTTTGCTGTCTCAATTTGCACATTTTCTCACGTATATATTTGTGAAAAAGTAAATATATAGGCATTCATCATTAGATTTTCTATGTTTGGTGGATAGTGCTGGTATTTCTAGATCTGTTGCAAAAGTCTGAGTCACCTAACAGATGTAGGCCTTATTAAGCACAATGGTAATTTGGATGCTGCCAGGAGTTATTAGGAAACTTTTCTCAGGATATATTTCCTAATTGTGACTATAAGTTTGCTAATTAGATCGTTTTCATTTGTGTACAGTAAGTTTGCTAATTAGATCATTTTCATTTGTGTACAGTGCTTAACTTGTACTTTTTTTTAAGTCTCAAAGTTGGCATCTCCTTTGGAAAACAGAACTCAGATTTGTTGGACTGTAAAAGTCTGTCTTTCTCTCCCTCTCCCTCCTCTTCTCTCTCCTTCCCTTCTTCCTTCTCTCTTTCTCTCTTACCTTCACCGTTACCACAATGGTGGGGAAAGTGGGGAGTTGAGAAAATAAAGGGGAAGATTGTATTGGAACTAAATTGCTTTCTAATTTTTTTTAATTTTTATTTATTTTTTATTGTGAAAATACTGTTCACAGGGCAAGATAATGAGTACATTTCTTATCAAGCATTGTAGCCTCCTCCTTTAAGAAGGCATCTGTGTTGGGAAATGGTCCTCTCTGTAGCCTTAATACACAGCCACCTATAACTCTCTCTTACTTCACTTTCATAGTGAAATAATTGCATCATAGGTGAACATGGAAGAGAAAATTACCCAGCAATTTTAATAATAAATTGCAATAGATTTATTCTAAAGAACTAGTCAAGAAATAACCATCTCTGCATTGTCAAATGAAATAATCAAGAAGATATAATTTAAATCCTACTTCCTTCCACAATAAAGGGGAGATGTATATAATTGTGGCATCTAAAGCCTGTAACAGACTTCAAAATTGGTGGTTAGGTATGGTAGAGTGACCTTATGGTGACCCACAAGTCTTACACATGGTTAACATTAAACCCAGAAAGCTTAGATCATGGAAAATATGGAATGAAATATTTTGAAGGATTTAATAATGAGGGCAAAACTTTTATGCTTCATCAACTACCTCAGTTTCTCCAAGACCAAAGGATAAATGAGTTTTTTACTTCACATACAAACTAGCATTGTTTCTAATAAAGTATGATATAATAAAACTATATATGATTATAGGTAGTTTAGAGATGAGGGAACTGAGCCACAGAGAGATTCAAATAATTTGCTTAACGCCATCTGGCCAGGAATAAAACCAAGGTCTTCTACCTTAGGCGTCCTTTCTGCTACCTCACTTTCTTTCGGAGCTTTTGTGAAATTCATCAGGCCTGGAACTTTTGTCTGTCTGTGACTCTGCAGGAATCTTACTACCATTACTAGTGCAAAGCATATGGTAACTTGATCCAGCAGATAGATGGAATGTAGTGATTGGAATCTTGAGTAGCTGACATTGCCACCTTGATCAAAGATTTATTGATAATAGCCAGGAACCCTACTAGTATTAAAAAAAAATAGGGACAGTAGGATGCTGTTATGCTTTTCTGCTCATTCGTTCTACTTCTGCCTGTGTGGGATTTTGTGTTAGGTACAGTCCAATTGTTCTCATTGTTTCCCCAAAATTTCTAGGTTAATTCTATACTTCCTGAAATGATATGCCATTGCAAGGCAACTTTTGTTATTTATTGTTTTAAAAGGAGCATGTATTTCCAAGGTTATAAGGGAATTAGTATCCTAGTTTGGGAGTCATCAGACCTAGGTTGGAATCCTGTGGCAGCTACGTGGCTTGAGTGAAATGCCTTTCACCTTGCTGACCTTCTAGTCTCCTCTTGTAATGACTTGCATGGGGATAGATGTGAGGAGAGGTACTCGGCAGAGGGATTGGCACATGGAAATGTGTGTAAATATGTGTAAATGGCTCTATCGGCCAATGCAAATATGTCATTTGTTTAATATACTTGGTGAGGAGTATCATTTATCTAAAATCTGGATTTATTTTTCTAAAACATCTGAACCTTTTCCATGTGTACGTTTTCCCACTTAATTTCATGATTTCAGATAGCACCTAACTAAGACCTCTTTTGGTAAATTGCTACATTATTGCTGAAGTGCTTAATCTTCTGCCACTGCAAAATAAATACAAAATTCCTCTGTTAATTCTGTTGGTAAAAGTAACAAAGCCATGCTTCATTAAGTCCAGTATGAAACCATTCATTATTTAACAAGCCCAGAAACCCAACTTATATGTACCCTACTGGGGACTGAAGGTTTTATTGATCATGATCTTTAAGCTAAAATGACTTTAAACTAGACATTACCTGAGTCAATGTCACTTAGTGGGAACAACCAGATGTGTAGTGTTATTATTGATGTTTTTACCACTCTTCTCTAAAACTTGTGGGGTTTTCATTCAACTATTGTCTGTCATGCTATTCTCTTTAGCTATGTCTACCCAGTCTCCAGACTTAATTGGAAAGGAGAGGCTAAGCTCTATAAGAGCCCAACTCAAAAAACAGGTGATAAGATCTGATCATAACTAGAGTTTTGTTTCATTCCATAGAGATTGTTTTTGGGTATCTCAACCTTCTGTTCAGAGAAATGGAATACTTGCTCTGTCTATACAACAGAATTGGAAGGGTCAGAATTTTTTTGTAAGTACAGGACTAAAATGATTATAAATCAGCATATGTGAAAGTAATTTGAAAGATAAAAGGGCCTTTTAAAATGAGATGCAGTGTCTGTTAAATTCATTGCAAAATCAAATGATGTGAGATATAGAATTGGAAGGCAGTTGGGTCTACCCTCTGCTTGCATAAGATAGATTCTTATTCACGTAACTACTAATAAGGCATCTGCCAATCTCTGGTGAGCAATATTCCCATTGGAGGCTATGTCTTTGTGAGGCCATGTTCATTTCTCATGGCTCATGCAGGTAGTAGTTCTTTTTACCTTATATCATATGATCTTGGTTTTGTGAAGCTGCAAAGAACTTCATTGAGCCTCATTTATATGACAAATGCCTTTAATATATTTGTTAGGTAACTGTTCACTTTTGCAAAAAAGTAAATGTTTAAAGGCATTATATATTTTTTAAAAGTCACTCCTAAACTGGTCACTGGTGGCTCACACCTGTGATTCTACCTACTCAGGAAGCTGAGATCAAAAGGATTGCCATTCAAAGATAGACTGAGCAGAAAACTCTGAAAAACTCTGTCTCCGTTGCTGACTATTTGCCAGGAAAATAAAGCTGGGCGATAGATGTGGCTTAACTGGTAGAGCACTGTTTTAGCAAGCATGCAAGCCAAGCAAGCAAGAGATCCTGAGATCAAATCCCAATACCATCCTTCTTCCACATCTCTTGTAACACTACTCATCCCTTCAATTTTCCCTAGCTTCATTTTTCACATGCCTACATTGAATATTCCGATTGCATTTACCCTCCCTGAAAGGGATGACATTGAGCAAGATGTTGACATGTTGAACTAAAAATCTCTTTGTACAACTACTTAATGGAATAATAATAATAATAGTAATAAATAGCAACAACTACCTGGCAACACCAACAACAAAAATTACTCATAACCCTAACTTGTAATTATAGACACTGATGTGAATATTTTTGTTATACATTTATAAATGCTCCTTTTTTAAAAGGAAAATTAGATCATACTTTTGTCTCATTTTTGCTTTCTGAATGTGAATACCTTCTCCATCACAAACATAAAATGTGTTTTTAATTGCTCAATATGCTCTCATGTAGATTTATCCCATTGTTGAGCATCTGTGTTGGTTCCATTGTTCTAGTAATGAAAATAATGCTTTCAAAATGTCTTGCTGTTTTGTTTTGTTGTATTTTATTGATTTCGTTTCATGTAGTTGTAAATTGCCATGCAGTTGCAAGAAATAGTACAGAGAGGTTTCTCATAACCTCTACCAATTTGGAATTGGTAGCATCTTATGTAACTATAGGAAGTTGGCTCTGGTACAGTCTGCCTACCCAGATTTCTCCAGTTTTACCTGCACAGTATATATGTGTCTTACCATATGTATAAATTTGTAAATCTTCCAGCACAATTGAGACACAGACCTGTTCCACTATCACAAAGATCGCTAGCCTTAGGTTTTGCAAGCTACACTTATTTGCAGCTATTTCATTTTTACCCCGACTCTTGTTTTATGTTATATCAATTTTTTTGGTCGGTAATGGGGCTTGAACTTTGGGCTTGGGTGCTGTCCTGGTGCTCTTCAGCTCAAGGCTAGCGCTCTACCACTTGAGCCACAGCACCACTTCCAGTTTTCTAGTGATTTATTGGAGATAAGAGTCTCACGGACCTTCCTGCCCCCACTGGCTTTGAACCATGATCCTCAGTTCTCAGCCTCCTGAGTAGCTAGGATTACAAGTGTAAGCCCAGTGTTATATCATTTTGAGTTGTATGCTACACTGACATGAATTTTCCTTTGCCATTCTTTTTTGGTGGGCCTTTTATTTTAAATTTAGACTAGATTTAGAAAGAGAGAATACAAATTTCTCATATGGTTTTTATCTTATTTACAGTGGAATTTCCTTTTAAGATTGCATATTCAGATTTGAGAAATGAAAGAATGAATTAACAAAGCTCATAGCTCATACTGAGTATCTACTACATGATAGACGCTGCTGGTGAACTAACAGAACCTTGACCTTGTCAAGCTTTCATTTTTTAGTAAAATGAGTGAAGAAAATGAACAAATAAATAAAAGATAAGTAGATATATACATAATTTCAAAAATCAGGACACACTTGGTTATTTAAGATAAAGAGGGACATGGACAATGTTGTGTG